GGTGGATAGCAGAGTGCAGGATGGATTGGAGGCGGCAGGAAGTCTGCGTGGAGGCTGGGAGGCCTGGCGGACATGGTCAGAAGTCAGGGTTCGTAGAAGTCGGAAAGCGTGGAAGCGGACTGGAGCCCTCTGACTGCAAGTCCAGCCTGCCGGTCATCGTACCAAGGACCCCCCATCTAACTGCACAGTGATTCCCCAGTGCAGTCGTTTGGTAATCAGGAATGGCACACCACATTAGGCATGCTTTTCCTTTCCTGAAATATGAGCTCCCTTACATTGGGAAGTTCTTAGAATTTATGGTCCTTTTTCCCTCTGCCTCACTACTTTTCACTTGACTCCTTAGTGCTGGTAGCTGATTAATTCAGCCCTCTGGCCCATTCGAGGATCCTTCTGCAGCCTGCACTGACAGGGCCAAGTGACAAAGTGAATATATCACTCACAGCCATTTGGCCTTGTTTGCCCTGTGCTGTGGCCTGACTCTTTATGCCCTTGGAATGAAGGCATCTGCTTATTCTCGAGAGTGTGAACCAAGGTCCATGCAAGTGGCGTGGCAGGCATTTCGTGGCTCTTAGTTCGTGCTCATTGCAAGCTGCAAGCTGGATGGAGGTCTACACAGGCAGAGCTGGTAACTCTTTCACCCTCCCTCCAGGTTGGGAGACAGTGGCAGCACTTGAGCGCGCCCCCTCCCCCCCCCGCCCCGAGAATGCGCTGGTATTGTTTAACAAGTATGTGTACCCAGAAAGAAAAGGAAACTAACGGACTCCCTCGGGCATGTATCACAAGAATTATATTGGGAACTGGAAGCTAGAGATTTGTTACAGACTGTCATGCAGTAACAGAAAGATGTATAGGAACAAGGTAAGAAGGGCAGTGATTAGTAATAGCAGATCACACAGAAGGGTGCAGTGCATGAATATGTGCAAAATTACAGGTTATATTTAGTAGATATTAGGTCGTCTTAAAAGGAACCCTATTATATACCCAACAAGCTTGTGCCAGTCACCTACCACATGAGTCCTTCCTCACACAGAGGAAGAGTTGTTGGAGTAATAGGGAGCTAGTTGCAGGCCCTGCCAGGAGTGAACAGAGAATCAGAAGTGATGGTGCAGATGCTCCAGTAGTGGTTTTGGGCTTGTACATTTTCATGGAAGGGTACACTTACCAGGAATGGTCATCTTGTAAGTCTTCGGGGCATTTGTAACAAGCATGACTAGGGCTCCACAAATTCATTGTTTTCAGTTTCAATTGACTTGACTCTTAATGTTCTTTCCCCTGCTCCACCTGGAGATGCCTTTATTGTAGTGGACCCACTGGTGCATTCCTCCTCCAGCACCTCCTCCACCAACAGCAGTAGAGCCTAAGCAACAATCCAGGAGGCAAAGTAAGTGTCTGAACCAGCGATCAGTCCATTCATCTTCATTTTTTAAGTTTTGAGCCGATATCGCATTATACATGTCCACATTGACACTTGAAGCATTGCAACCCCACACAGTTGTTCAGAGAACATTGCTGATGGTGGGGCCCCAAGTGAATATCCTGGAGGTACTAGGGGCACCAAGTTTCTTTGGGCTCCAGACAATAGCTGGGTTCCATGAAAGGCCTGAGCATCTTGGTCTCACCCAGCTTATGGGTGGTAATCCTCTTCCTCCCCTTGCCTCTCCCAGTATACCTTTAACAAGACGGGATCTCAAGTGGCAGCATGAAGCACCTCAGCAGCTTCTGTTTTCTGTTTGGAGGACTGAGTGTATAAAATAGGAAGGGCCTCACTAACTTCTTCAGAACCAAAAGGTGAGTAGGTAGAACACAAATATTGAGAACTCAATAAATTATCCTGTAACAGATTGTGTAATTCATAGGCCCTGCAGAGAGGCAGCAGAGCAGGGTGATGGAATGCTTGGAATCTTGTCTCTACCTCTTGCTATCCATGTCATTGTGCCCCATGTTCCTCAAAAGGAAAATAAGATGATAGTAATGGTACCCATTCCACTCTGAGGCTTTGAGGATCCATTGACCAATACACAGCACTGGCTGATATTTAGACATGGGGATAACTCAAAGTGATAGCTGTTACTGTTATAAACCTCTACTTCCACTGATGTAAAAAGTGATTCTCCTGTATAGCATTTGGTATAGCATTGCTATACCAAAATGGCTTCTTTCCCTTTCCTTTCTCTGTCTGTCTGTCTGTCTGTCTGTCTCTTCTGGCTAATGATATCTCCCTCTCCACAACCAGTGAGATTGGATAATGGATAAAGAAAAGAAGACTCATCCTGAGTGAAGCTTGCTGACCAAGGCAGTGAGCCCTGACCTTTGCCTGCCCAGTTGGTGATACTCACAGAAGAAGGGAATATTCTAGTTGTGGTGATGTTCCCAACAGAATGGTGTTAGGAATCTTATTGGAAGGACGCAGTGTGCTTTGCCGATGGTGTTTTGTCACTATTAGAGATGTGTGTCTTGCTAGTGAAGAAGCCCTGGGCCAGGTGTCCTCTGTCCTCTCCTTACCTGATTTCCTCTCTCAACTCCTTAAGCCTCATTTGGTTGGAGATGTCCCCTATGCCTCCAGTCTAAATTTGGTCTCACATGGCATTCTCTCTTGTTTCTTGCTCTCTATTATTAGTCTTTACTCCATTTTTAATGATGGATATTTGTCTGTTTATTTCTTCAAGGTCTGCTTTCCCAGTAGGAGAGATAGCTCTAGAGGGCTGTGTTTTATTAAGCAAGTACAATGACTTAGCTTTAACCTTTTAATCTGTTAATTGAGCATGCTGGCATTACCTTTTCCTACATCACTGAGCTGTGAAATTAAAAAAATGTAGGAAAGTTCCTCATAAGTCACAAACTGATTGTGATTGTGTATTGGTTATGCTTAGCGCTATGTCTTTTTGAACTTATATAAGCTGAATACTTGTAAAATGAGGGCCTAGGTAGGTGAACATTTTGTCAGATGAGATAGCAAAGTGCAGAGGCAAGGATGCACACCATGACTGTCTTTATTGTGCAAATTCAGAGCAATCCCAACCTCTAAAAACTGCCACATTCATTTAGTCCAGTGGTGGTGAACTTGACATGCATGCCACTGAAGGCTGTTTGTTTCACTGAAAGTTCTAAAAGGTTCATATCACTGACTTAGTCCAGTTAGAGTAGGCTTGAAGCTCTTAGATAGGATACACGAGTACCAGCTCTGGAGAAGAGTAAAACATACTGTGAAACAGCGAGCTGTGGATCCTGCCCACTGGAAAGGTTTCACAAGCTCTCATGCAAGACATTCCTTTCCTACTGAGAGGCAAAGATGGTCACTTGACATCTCCTGCTCACCAGCAGTGGGATTGCAGATGCAGGGAAAGTCATTTCTAGATAAATGGCTGCTGCCACCGGCACTTCACAGCAAACAGAGGAACATGAATCTCTGGAAGCCTAGACATTGCACAGATATATGCAGCATCATATTTGGAATAGAGACAGTTGGAGAGATGTGGTTGAATAAGTATTGCACAAAGGCCATGTGTTCACAGCTTGCTCCCCAGCCTGTGGCGCTACTGGGAGGTGGTAGAATCTTAGGAAGTGGGGCCTAGTGTAAGGAAGAGAGGTCATTGGTGGCATGCTCTTGAAGGGGACCTTACTCTTTTTGTTTCCTGACTGCCTGAGGTGAGCAGCTTTTCCTACAGTGCACTCCTACCATGATGTGCTGCTCTGCCATAGGCCTAAAACGGTGTGGCCAGGTAGCCATGGTCTCAAACCTCCATAATATGTTCCAAAATAACCTTTCCCCTGTAGAAAGTGATTATCTCAGATATTTGTTGCAGTATCAGAAATATGACTAACACATTAGAACATAAGATCCAGACTGCCACTCCTCTGCCTCTGACAGAAGAGCCAGGAAACAATAAACAGCGTTACTAAGGTTGGGAACCCAAAGACAAGATGCTAAACTTGGAAAATAGAAAAATCATATGGAACCAAAATCAGGTAAGTATTTATTCACTGAAGCCATTTTAGGTTTTGTCCTATTTGTTGGAAAACATGATAGGGTGTTGATGCTAACTGCCCTGGTATAATTCTTTGTTGCTTAATGTGTCTATAATTATGACTAACTCACTACTTAGTAAGCTATTTGTAGTTTGTATGTTTAGGACATCCCTGGTTTTCCTAGAATACCAGATTTCCTGTGATTGGATGGGAATCTAGTTTTTTCCAGCTCCTCGGCTCAGACATGAGTCCTTACTTCCTGATTCTTTATATAGCTGTGACTGCCTTTGTGCTCACAGAGGTGACCTCTGATCCCAGAATAGATTAGGTAACAGATAAGACAGGGTATGACAAGTAATGGGCCGTATGATGGCACAGGAAAATGGATTTCATACTGGATCCACAGGAAGACAGGGCTCCATTACAGATCCAAGTGAAGGAAAATTGGCAAGAAAGCAATGTTTAGGCAAGGGAGATAAACAAAGATCACACATAATTCAGAGGGGATGGGCTGGTGGCCATATGTAAGGACAATGAAAAGGAGAAAGGATATAAATTTGCATAAGGGTATATTTAAAATCTTCGGTAAATGAATGGTTGCTACTAGAACCATGTTTGATTATAGGCTGCAGAAGTTTGCAGTTATCTTATCCTCATCTGTCATGGAACTATGCCCACATAACAGGGCTTCTCTCAGGCCCATACTACAGGTGCCCACCTCTCTTCAATCTGGATTTTTTTCAGTCACAGGCTGTGTAGCATTAGAAATGTGTTGGCATAGAGGTTAAGTGAGAGCATCAGAGAGAACCAGGAACTGAAGAGCTTCCTCTATACACTGTCCTCACACCTCTGAAGTAGAGACTTACTTGGATTAAGTCTTAAGCTTTTTAGGGAGGCCTTTGTAAAATGGTTGTTGATGGGAAGTGGGAAACCCAGGGCCAGGCTGTGATGAGGTGGGAAGGGGAGAAACCCGGTCAGCATTCTGCTTGAGGGCTAAGAAGAGAGAACGTCGTCCAGAATGGATCTGGTAATATTGGAGCTTTGGGGCACAAACCCCAACTCTTGAGTGTCCCAACGTACCAGAATCAGCCAGTGTTCCGTAACGTCCAGCAGGGGGCCGAGCAGTGGCGAAGGGGAGGAAAGGAACTTTAAGCAGCATGACCATGTTGTGAGGCACAGAGCTGTTCAAGATCATCTTTGAGGGGCTTACAGAAACATTGGGGTTTTAGATAAAGGGGGAACAAAGGTAAGAGTTGAGGTTTTGCATAGGAGGTAATTTAGTTACTCCTTGTTGGTAATCCTGGTCAAGTCACAGTGTGGTGAATCAGTATCTCAGGACTGGTTCTCTGAGGTTGTAAGACCCTTATACAAATTTATATCCTTTCTCCTTTTCATTGTCCTTACATGTGGCCACCAGCCCATCCCCTCTGAATTGTGTGATCTTTGTTTATCTCCCTTTCTAAACGTTGCTTTCTTGCCAATTTTCTTTCACTTGGATCTGTAATGGAGCCCTGTCTTCCTGTGGATCCAGTATGAAATCCATTTTCCTGTGCCATCAAATGGCCCATTACCTGTCATACCCTGTCTTATCCGTTACCTGACCTATCGTTGCTTGAGGGGACAGTTCAGTTCCATCATAAGATGATGGCTTCTGTTTGGGGGTTAGCTTCAGTTCCTGTCATGGGGTAATTGTTCTCACTTTGGGAGGACCTCATCATGGTGGTCTGTGGAGGTCTGTTTTTCCTGGAATCAAAGGTTGCAGGTATAGGACAATTACTTGAGTCTTCTGAGCACTGCTCCAAGGGATCTGGAACTGAATGTTGTAAGAGCTGGCAATTAAATGTTCCTGTAAACCCTGAAAATTAGTTACAATTGATATCCTTACCTTGAAGCAGTTTGAGACAAGTGAGGTAAGTTTAGGCCTAAAAACTTTGTCTTTAAGTGATTAACATCCCTATGTGCAGAGCTGAGAGGGATGGAGCCCAAAGTTTTAAGTCAATAAGACACACAAAAGGAAGATGGATGACAAGTTTTGTAATGCATATAGTTACCCACGGGGCATTTGCAGACCCATCCTGTAGGTCCCTATTATGCTGGAAGAGGGAAATGCAGAGAGAGGCAGAGGGCAGAGAAGGAGGGGTGTTTGGTTTCTCCCTTTGCCCAAGAGCAGCCTCTGTTCTCCAGGAACAGGGAGCAGTTGACTCATAAAAAAGACACCAGCCTCATCTACTCTTGAGTCTCTGGAGGAAGGCGCTGGCCTCCCCTGACACCGCATGCTCACTGGCAAGTTATTTCTGGAAGACTCACAGGAGAGTAAGCAGGGGCTGAATCAGGTCCTTAAACACAGAGAACAGTCTGCAAGTCAGTAGCCTGGGAGTGGAGACAGGGGAGCTTTGTGTGCCCTGAGCCATGAGCAGCGTCCACTTCTCTGTGTCCGCAGTCTGCCCAAGTTCCCGGCGACATGAAGGGGCTCCTCCTTTCCACTCTTCTCTTCACAGAGCTGGCACAGGTGAGCGCTCCGTCCTCTTTCCCTTCCAGAGACCTTAGTGTCCTTAGTTCTTCAGGCCCAAACTAGAAAAGGAAGAGGATGAGAAACTTTCTTGTAGAAACACTTCATGAGACAGGGAGCCATTTTGTTCTTCAAGAAAGTTCTGCTTGAGTTCCTTAGCTTCATGAGAGAAATGTGAAATGTTTCTCCTAAGCTAAAGGCATTGAAGCCTGCTTTTGATATTTGAACAGTCCACAAATTTGACTGTATATATATTTTATCTGAGCCTGACCTGTACTGTCTCTCTGGGACAGCTGTTCTGGCTGCTGCGGTGGATCAAACACTGTCACTTCCTGAGGGCTTCAGGCTGGGGCTCAACTTTTCCTTTTCCAACTTTCAATTTGCAAAATGTGCAAAGGGCCCCTGGCAAAATAGATTTAGTAAGAGCATTTTTTTTTGCTTCAGCCTGTTCTTATTTAAAAGGAGCACTTCAGAACAAAAATTTACAATTTAAAATGGTCTTGTCTCAATAGTGTGTTTCTTACTTTTCCAAAAAGGAACCAGTTCATGAAGGCTTTGAAATGTTTCAAGTGACAGACTACAGAGAAATTTAATAAGAACAGTTCACTGCCTAAATGTTTTAAAATGAGAGTAAAAGAGCGTGATTTAATGATTTACTTAAATGATGGAAGTTCTTGCTGGCAAAGGGAATGCAGCTCTTGAAATATTCTGGTAACTTAGAAAACATGGACGTGTCTGTGAGCTAATAGTTGATTCTGGCAGTTAGCAGTAGATGTACCTTAGAAACACAGGATTAAAGCCAGAGTTGGTGATACATACCTGTAATCTCAGACTTTGGGAAAGTGAGGCAGGAGGATTCAAAGTTTGAGCCCAGTTTGGGCAAATCAGTGACTTAGGGAGACATCTTGTTTCAAAATAAAAAAATAAGAGCTGGGGATGTAACTCATTGTGAAGGCCTGGGCTCAATTTGTAGTACTACAAAAACCAAACAGGAAAAACCAAACAACAATAAAGGATCTGAGTTGTTATACTCTATATAGACAGAGTTAAGAGTTAGGATAGAGGACCATGAGGAGAGTATCTTTGGTCCATGGCATTCCTGCTGTTAGTGTGTTAGGGGTCACACTTCCCCAGTGGGGAATGTCTTGTTCCACAGTCTGAGAAAGTGCACATTATTACAGACTGAGAGTTTCTACTTGTGCTTAAGCAGCAACTGTTCTAACATAGATGTGGCCTGCAAAATATGAAAAAAGTGGTTATACTCAGAGAAGTAAATATTTTGTGCTTAACTTGGCTTTCATAAATTTTTGAAGAGTCTGATTATGTCTGTCATTTCTTGAACATTGGCCATGTGCCAAGCACTGTGTTAGGTTTTCTTATTATCTTAATCGTGAACCAACGATTAGCAGATGCATATTATCAGTCCCACTTTAAGAAGGAGGATTGATGCTTAAATACTAAATGATACTTTGGGCATGGTGGTGCACACCTGTAATCCCAGCTACTCCAGAGGCAAAGGAAGGAGGATCACACATTCCACCCTTACCTGGGCAACTCAACAAGACTCTGTCTCAAAATAAAAAAGCTCAGTGTGAGGTTCTGGGTTCAAAACTCAGTTCACACACAAACATACACAACACAGCTCAGATCTTTTTTGAACCACTTACAGTGTTCTTTCTTTTATATCTGAAATCGTTTTAATGACTTAAGTCTTGAAATTTTTACTTTTGAAACAAAGTGTGTAGAACAAGAGAAAAATATAAAATTCTGTGTATTCAACCAGGCATTTTCTTTCCCTGGGACCCTTCATTTCTTCTTGCATTTCTGAGTTACCACCTACTGTTATTTCCTTAGTATATCTTATAAGGCAGGTCTGCTAGCAACAGTTTTTCTTAGTTTTTGTTTATCTGGACATGTCTTTTGCCCTTATTTTTGAAACATAGTTTCACTGGATATAGAATTCCATGTTAGCATGTTTTTGTTTTGTTTTGCTGGCTTTTTTTTTTTTTTCAGCATTGTATCTGGGCATCTTCTGTACCTTTTTCTACCCATTGTTTTGATGAAAAGTCAAATTTCATTTTTTTCTGTGTAATGCTTTGCTCTTCTCAGTCTGCTATCAGATTACTCCTCTCTTCATCCATGGATTTCTGTTGTGTTACCCTGTGACCTCAGAGATGATCTAGTAAGATTTTAGGACAGGAAAACTAAGCAGGCATTCCAAGGTGAGCAGTTTATTTTTTTCTTTTATTTTATGAAAAAGTAAAACAATTTCTAAGCAAAATAATAAGAGAATAACAGTAGTTAACACACGTGTATTGTTATCTTCAAAGTAATTAGAGTACAAGACACACCAAAAAGATTCTTACAAATAAAGAAACAGATAATAACACAAAACTTTCTTTTGAGTCTAAGGTAAACTCATATGAATGGAACAAATTAGTATGTATCTTAAATATTTTTGAAACAGCAAAATATATAATCTGGGGAAGTGTATGAATTTCTCCCTACTACCTATTTATCTTTCTTCTATTTTGCTCTTTATTTGTATATTACATATATTTTGTGTTTCTCATGTAAGAGAAAACCATGTGATATTTGAGCATAAAAGTGTCTGATTTATTTCACTCACCATTATGTTCTCAGGTTGCACCCATTTGTGTGCAAATGCCTCGTTTATGGCAGAGCAGTAGTCTGATGTGTGTAAAAACCACATGTTCCTTATCCATTCATTTGCTCATGGCCATAGATGCTGTTCCCAAGATCTAGCTATTACAAATTGTGCCGCTATAAACATGGATATCCATGTATCCTTGTCATATGATGATTTAACTCTTTGGGGGAGGTACCTAGAAGGGAGGATAGCTGGGTCAAATGCAATTTCTATTTTTAATTTTTTTGAGTAATCTCTACACCAATTCCATAGCGGCTATACTAGTTTATATTCTCACTAACAATGTAGAAGACTTCTTTTTCCCCTACATTCTTGCCAGCATTTCTTAATTTTTTTTTATGATAACTATTTTTTTCTGGGATAAGATGGTATCTCAGTATAGTTTCAATTTGTATTTCTGTGGTGGGCAGGGAGGATGAGCATTTTTTCATGTATTCACTGGCCATCTGTACTTCCTTTGGAGAGTGTCTATTCATTTTGGCTGCTCATTTTTTTGACTGGATCTTTTATTTTGTGAGGGTCTAATTTCTTGAGTTCTTTGTTCTTGATGTTTATCTATGGAATACCTGGCAAAATTTTTTCCCATTCTCTATATTGTCTCCTCACTCTGTTTATTATTTTCTTTGCTGCACAGCAGCTTTTAAATTTGATATGATCCCAGTTGTTGACTCTTGGTATTACTTCTTGTGCCACTGAAGCTCTATTCTGAAAGTCTTTGCCTATGCCTTTGTCTTCAAGAGTTGTACCTATTTTATCTTCTAGCAGATTTCTTTTTTAATATTGCGATTTCTGTTTCTGTTTTAACATTCAGCTCTTTGATCCACTTTGATTTTAGTTTAGTACATGGTGAGATGTACAGGTCTAGACCTAGTGTTCTGCATATGGATAGCCCAGCACCATTTATCAAAGAGGCTGTCTTTCCTCCAGTGTAAACTTTTGGCTCTTTGTCAAAGATCACATAGCTGTATTGCTTGGAGGTTGTACTGTACTGCTTCTCCTATTCTGGTCCATTGATCCACATACCTGCTTTTGTGGCAGTACAACACTATTGTAATCACTGTAACTTGATAGTATAACTTCAAGTCTGGGATTGTGATGCCACCTGCCTAGCTATATTAACCCAGGATTGCTTTTGCTCTTCAGCATTTCTCCAGAATCCATATAAATTTTAGGATTGTTTTCTTTAGCTTTGTGAGAAATGACACTGGTGTTCTGGTTGAGATTGCATTAAATCTGTATTTTAGTTTTGGGAGCATAGCCATTTTAATTATGTTGGTTCTGCGTATACAGAAACAGGGGATCTGTCTCCATTTTCTGAGATCCTCCTACATTTCCTTTTTCAGAGTAACATAATTTTCACTGTAGAGGTCTTTTACTTCCTTAGTTAGGTTAATACCTAAGAATTAAAATTTTTTTTGATGCTGTTGTGGATGGTACTATGTTCCTGATTCCTTTTTCAGTGACTTCATTATTAGTGTATAGCAATGTTATTCACTTTTGTGTGTTTACTTTGTATCCTGCTACACTACTGAATTTGGTCATCATTTCTAGGAGTCTTTTGGTAGAGTTCTTTGGGTTTTATAAGTAAAGAATCATGTTATATGCAAATAATGATCTTTTGACTTCATCCTTGCCTGATGCTTTGGCTAATGTTTTGAGGATTACGTTGAACATGAGTGGTGATAATGGGCATCCTTGTCTTGTTCCTGATTTTATTTTTATTTATTTATTTATTTTATTTTAAAAATAAAAGGAGGAAAACATTAACAGACAGACATTTTACAAAATAGCAAAAGAACAGTACAGACAATGCACAGTTACAAACAAAGTGGTAGGAAATTAACAATGCTTGTATTAAATATTGATATCTTCAAAGTGGTTTCTCATGAATATAGATAGAGACATGCAATATTGATCAATCAAGGACTCATTGTTCCTGATTTTAGAGGGAAAGCTTTCCAGTTTTTGCCCATTTAGTATAATGTTAGCAATAGGTTGGTTATAAATGACTATTATCATGTTGAGATAAAGGCTTAATATAGCTATTTTCTTCAGGTTTTTATCATGAATGGAAGATGGATTTTGTCAAAGGATTTCCTGCATCTATTGAGATGATCATGTGATTTTTGTCCTTGCTTTTGTTTCTGAAAATTACATTTATTGATTTGAGTATGTTGAACCATCCTTGCATCACTGGGATAAAGTCTCCTTGATCATGATGATTTGTTGCATTGTTTGCATTATCTTATTAAGGATTTTTGCATTTATGTTCATTAGAGAATTTGCATATAGTTCTCTTTTTTGATTCAATCCTTTTCTAGTTTGGGGATCAGTATAATGTTAGCTTCTGAGAACTATTTGGGAAATACTCCTTCTCTTTCAATTTCATTTAAAAGCTTGAGAAGTATTACAGTTAGATCTTTCCTAAAGTTTTTGTAGAATTTTTTTTTTTGGTTTTTCTCCAGTACCAGGAACCGAACTCACGACCTTGCGCTTGCCAGGCAGGCACTTTGCTGCTGAGCTAAATCCCTAGCCCCAGTTTTTGTAGAATTAAGTTGTAAATCCATCACATCCTGGGCTTTTCTTAGTTGGTGGCTTTTCTTTTTTAATTGCTGCTTCAATTTCATTGCCTATACTGGATTGTTCAAGATTTTTAAGTGTTCTTGGTTTAATTTTGGCAATTCAAATGTATCTAGGAATATTTCCATTTCTCCTGAGTGTTCCAATTGTTTGGCATATATTGTATGTTTGCAAAGTAGCTGCTAATAATTTTCTGGATTTTGGTATTGTCCATTGTGATTTTATCTTTTTCATTTTTAACTACACTAATTTGTGGCTTCGCTTTCCTTTTTTTTGTTAAGATTGGCTGAGGGTTTGTTTATTTTTATTCTTTCAAAGAACCAACTCTTTGATTCGTTGCTTCTCTTTATGTTTTTAGTCTCCATTTATTTCTTCTCCAATCTTTATAATTTCCTTCCTTGTACAACCTCTGGTTTTGGCTTGTTCTTGTTTTTCTAAGACCTTGAAATGCCTCATTAGGTTATTTGGGCTTGTCCTATTTTTTCTGAAATGGAACTTCGTTGCTATAAGTGTCCCTTGTAGAACTGGTTTCATTTTGTCCCATAAATTCTGGTATGTTGTACAGACATTATCATTTAATTCCAGGAACTATCTTATGTATTCCTTAATTCCTTCTGTGACCCATTGATTATGTATGTGCATTGTTTAGTTTCCATACGTTTGCATAGCTTCTGTGGTTTCTTTTGCTATTGATTTCTAGACTGTGCTGTGTGGGAGATAAACTATACAGTGAAGGCAGATACTTAGAAATACTAACCAGGGGGACTCTAATGTTTAGAGATGAGAATATGAGGAGAAAGTGGCAGAGAAGAGTGACAAGGAGCAGTGAGAAAGAAGAAATAAAAAAGAGTGATGTCTTTTGAGGCCAAGTGGAGAATCGTTTAAGGAGGGAGTGGCTGTTTTTACCCGTTTTGGGGAAATGTAGTCCTACAAGATTCTGAAATTTGTTTTAGAACTACTACTAATGCTGCTTTTATTATCAAATGAAGTTTTGCTGCAGGGCACAGGACACAGCATCATTAGACAGGACACCTGAAGTGCTTCAGCGTAAACAGTTTTGTCACTGGCCCTGCAGATGCCCTCATCAGAAGCCCAGTTGCCCTCCTGGTGTGAGCTTGGTTAGGGATGGCTGTGGTTGCTGCAAAATCTGTGCCAAGCAGTCAGGGGACATCTGCAATGAAGCTGACCTCTGCGACCCACACAAAGGGCTATATTGTGACTACTCGGCAGACAAGCCTCGGTACGAGACCGGCGTGTGTGCATGTAAGTGCCCTTTCTGAGCTCTAAAAAAAGCTGAGTCTAGGATACCACCCCCAATTCCTAATTTAGTGTAATGAACTATGTTTGGCTATACAAGTACCTAGGGGGTTAAGTTTTGTAGACACAGGATAGGTCCATTGTACCAGACACCATATGAAATGAGCTGATACTCATGTTCAGAAGCTGATAATTGCTTTTAATGATAGAATATAAGAAAAATTAAGAGACTGAGTTCTTTAAGTGCCAAAAAATGACAGCTTTTGTTATTGTTGCAAAAAAAAAAAATCTGGATTCAGCCCTTTCTATAAACAACAGCTAATCCTGTTACAAAAATAAGGATGTAGAGAAATAAGGATCTAATAGTCAGACATGCTGTTTTACTCTCAGCCTTGTTAACTAGCCATCAAGTTCCTGTACTTTCTATTGTAGTAGATTTGTAAGAAAGAACCTGGTGTCACCCCCAAACTACAACTTGACCATTAACTGTATGGACTTAAACTCTGATGTCTAATTCAGACCATCTACAGCCACAACACATTGGCAGTAATTCAGAACACCAAATCATTTAGAATAAAAATAAAACTTAAGTGATAAGAAATACTCATGTCACTGGGTAATTTAGTCATCCTGTAGGAAAGCAGGAAAGATATTTACTACCAGACATTTGGTTGTGAGCACAGAATGGGAGTGTCTTTGGATTTGGACTGAACTGTAGAGAGCCATTGAGCAACATATTGTATTAATTAAGAATGCAGGATCTGTATACAAATCCTGATTGCTCTAACAGTGACTTCCAACAAGTAGCTCAATCTCTCTGAGCCTCAGTTACATCATACATACTTTCCCCATCTTACAGAGCTTGCTGGGAAGATGAAATTAAATGACATAAAACCTAAGAACAGTTAAACCAATACCTGGTATGCAATAGGGTCTCCAAAATCATTTAATATTTATGAACTTTTTTTTTGTGATACTGGGTTTTGAACCTAGGTCCTTTGCACTGAGCTACACCTGCATCCCCCCCGCCTTTTTTTAAAAAAAAATTTTGAGATGAGTTCTTACTAAATTGCTAAGTTCCCCTCCAGGCTGGGCTCAAACTTGTGATCCTCCTGCCCCAGCATCCCAGAATGCTTGGATTACAAGTATGTACCATGTCCTGTGGCCTCATTTATGGAAATTCTAAGGGGGGAAACATGATGTATCAAAGACTTTGGTGTTCAGGATACCTCTTTCTCCAAACTGGGCAGATTATTTCTTTTTTTTTTTTTTTTACTGGTACTGGGAATCGAACTCACAACCTTGCACTTGCCAGGCAGGTGCTGTGCCACTGAGCTAAATCCCCAGCCCCATGGGCAGATTATTTCATGACTCTAACAAATACTCAGTGAGACTCCTACTGAGTCAGACACTGTAGCCAGTTATTATGCACACAACAGGGAGGGTAGGGAAGGAAGGGGATGGGAAGAAAGTCAAGGAGAAGGGAGGGAAAGGAAGGAGAGAAGAAGAGAAGAGAGAGGAGGGGAAACAGGAGGAAGAGAAAGAGGAAAAAAAGTCCCTTCTCTCATAGAGGCAAAATTTGTTGTGTCAGATCTTTCTATAAGTCATTTCACATAAAATGTGACAAGATTTTTCACCATACCAATGAGAATGGGGATGGGGATAATCTGCACCTGGGCTCACAAATTACTGCCCAGGGACCAAAGCTAGTCACAGTTTGTTTCTGCAAATAACATTTTGTTGGGACACAGCTGATTCATTTACATAAGTCTACAGGTGCTTTACAGTGGCAGAATAGCACAGAGACCATACGGCCTGTAAAAGCTAAGATATGCACTGTTTGGCCCTTATAGAAAATCGGCTGATCTCCGATCTGTTAAAAAATATAAGGATGTAGAAAAATCTTTAAAAACCTTTTGGTCTTGGAACTCTTTTATAGTTTTAGCAACTAATGAGAATCCAAATAGCTTTCATTTATTTGGGTATTATCTATTGATACTTAATAGGTTAGGAATCTAAATATATCTAATAATTCATTTAAACATAATAAACCTGCTACAAATAGAAATACTTTATTTTTATGAAAAAACTTTAGTGAGGAGAGTGGCATACTTTGTATTTTTGCAAATCTCTCTAATGTAGAGGTCAACAGATGATAGCTAGATTTTCACATCTACTGCTTTCAGGGTTTCACTGTATGTTTTATTGGCTGAAATGTATAAGGAAAATCACAGATAATTGATTGGAAAAGGAAGGAATATTTTAATAAGCTTCTCAGATAATTATGAATATGCTTTCTGATATTAAAATGTGCCAAGTGGTAGATGGTTTCCTAAAATTAACTGCATCATGGAATCTGAAAACATAAACCTTCATCTCTATTATAATATCTAAGACTTGCTTGGGATGCATCATTCATTTATGCATAATTCTGTCATCCTAGACTTTGGTCATTGAAAAATATTGGCTTACTGTATCATCAAGTTGTTCAAACTATTCTGCATTAAATAATATTTTAAAACTCCCATTAATATCCCTCTCATCAGAAAAGTCTACAAATTATTTAACTATAAAGAGCCTGGTGGTGAATATCAGTTTTCCAAAATTCTGTCACTGAAAACAAATACTGTTAATTGTTTTCCTTGAAGTGAAAGGTTCATTCTATTGATTTTTATGAACTGTCTCCAAAATACCCATGTCTGAATAACTATTGTTTATGTGAGTTATTTCTTCAAGTAAAATTCCCTTTAAAAAGTGGCTAATTCAGCCCACAACTTGAACACAGCATAGGTGCTTTTTCTTAAGACAGCCATTATTTTGGGGTATACAGAGTTGTCACACAGAATTTAATAAAATTAATAATTTTATTGTGCTCTCAATGACATTCTTAGGTAAAAATAGCTTTTTTCCCCCTTTCACCTCTAAGTACAAGTAAATGGTGAGAAAGAATACAGCAGCTACATGTATAGCTTGATTCATGCTAAGGCACCTGAAATTTTAGCCTTTGTTGTTTTGTAACACCAATGCAAGTATCAATATCTTACTATATTGAAGAGTTTTGACCTTGGAGAGTTCCTGAAAACATCTCAGCTGCTGCAAAGAAATTGGTGGAATATATTTACAGAACTGCTGATCCAGGTCAAGAATACTCCTCACAGAAAGTAAAAGTCTCTTTCAATTTTTAGTAACCCTGGAAAACTGTACTTAAATAAAATTATAATTTCCTCAGACATTCCTTTATCTTGTCTTCCTAAGAATATGTTCTTAGACTATTGTTGAATGTCTGGGGAAGCTTCAGTTTCCCCAAGCATCAACATGTCCCTCCAATTTAATTTCACTTATGTTTTGAAAAATTAACTTTACTGCGGAACAGGGCTTTTATTTGGTTTTAAACCTGGAAATGATTATTTGAGGTTTATAGCCTACATATAATAAAAATGTCTCATTTTAACCTACCTACAAATCTGTGAACATTTCCGAATGGGGCCCAAGAAATTGAAAACTACACTTTATAAATAAAGTAGGTAGCTGTTTGTTTGAAAGTGCCATAATAGCTAAATCTTGGAAGCAACCTATATGTCCATCAACAGATGAATGGATGAAGAAAATGTGGTATTTACACCCAATAGATTACTACTCTGCTATAAAGAAGGGTAAACTTAAGTCATTTGTAGGAAAATGGGTGTACCTGGAGACCATAATTTTACGTGAAATCAGTCAGACACACAAGCTTAAATATCACATGGTTTCTCTTATATGAGAAACCCAAATTATAAAGAGCAAAATAAAAGCTAGATAACAGGAAGTATAGAGATCAATCTTTCTCAGATGGGAAGGGGATCAAGAGATGGAGAGAGGCAGCAGGCAGGAAGGGAAAGGGATGAAAAAAGGAATTAAAATGTGTCATGTGCATGACCAACTCCACACAAAGAATGTAAATATCATGTACTGCACCCATGCACTAAAAACATACAGTGGATAAGTGGAGGTCTAAGTATCCCAGGTTACAGCTGCTTTGGCAATTTTGCTCTTTTTCCTTTTCAGATCTTGTAGCTGTTGGATGTGAGTTCAACAGGATCCATTACCGTAATGGCCAAGTGTTTCAGCCCCACCCCCTGTTTAGCTGCCTCTGCATGAGTGGGGTGATTGGGTGCACACCTCTGTTCAGACCCAAGCTAGCTGCCAGCCACTGCTCTGGAGCTAAAGGTGGAAAGAAGTCCGATCAGTCAAACTGTGGCCTGAGACAGTCACGACAGCAGCTCTCAACAAGCTACAGAACAATGCCAGGTGCTCAGAAGTACAGCTATTTCCCCTGCATGACTTTTGGGGTAGTTTTCTTTCAGCTTCTTTTTATCCACACACAGGTATTGATTAAGTATACATGGTGGTCAGAGGGTTTAGGTTGAGTGTGTCCTGCTACTTGGGCTTTGCCTCAGGCAGGTATATTCTAACTATCTCAAAAGGAAACTATAATGTTTTAGACTTTTCTGGTAAAATACTCATTTTTAAAAATTTACTAGGTCAGGACACTCTTCTACATTCTTATACTTCTGCTTATTTCCAACCTCTTCTCTGGAAAATTGAGTTTTTCTGTGTTCTCATTCAGAAACCAAGAACGCCTTTTACTTGAATTTAGAGTTTAGTGAAAGGTACAATGGAGAGACAGAATATTTGTGTTTCCAAAAATAAATACACTAAGTTCATTTTTGTTGAGTGGATATTCTGTAAATGGAGCTATGAACAGATCAATGAGTTTTAAACATTTACAAACTGCTAACTCTGTGAAAAGAGCATCTTTGGGGACTTCGATTATGTCAGTTAATTTTTAAAAAATCAGGTTTTTGTGAATTTGTATTTACATAATCATTTAGCTAACAACATGACACTACTAATACTTTAAAATGATAAAATTATTCCTATTTCTTTATTGATTTTGCGATTGAGCCCAGGGTCTTGCACATGCTAAGTATGCATTCTACCACTGAGCTATACTCTTGGCCCTCAAATTGTTCCTTTTTCAAAACATATAGAAACATTTTTCTGCATGACATCTCAGTGGCTCAATTAAGGCTCTTGTGATAATAATTTAGTTTATGCTTGGATTGTAGCCTTTGCTGGACCAGTATGAAACATGCAATGACATAGTGCCCTCATTCTTCTCCATGCTCACAAATATTAAGCTTTTATTTTATACATCTGTTTTCCTGCTTTTTAATGAATGTTTAAGAACTCCTGGCCTGTAGTTCTTGGTTTAACTTAAAGCAGGGTTACTTCTTGGTAATGTGATAATCTAACCTACCTTTATTTATTTCAGATGTGTGCCAGGCTTCTAAATCTGCTTCCTGCATTGAGATCTTTAAACTGCTGTCTATTTTCCAGGTATCTTCATGATTCTGCTTCCTTTCTCTCACTTCAGTGTACAATTTCAAGGTCCTTCTGTAAGGATATACATATTTTAAAGTGATGGGTAATTTCTGTCAAGGAGGAGTTTTTCTGGGTCTTTTTAGGTTTTTTTTTTTTCTTCCTTTTTGGTACTGGGGATTGAAACCAGGGCCTCATACATGTCAGGCAAGAGCAGCATTTTTTTTAGAATTTTAAATAGCTAATTTGAACACAGCCAGAACTCCACTATATTCAGCTACAGACTCAAATCACAACCGTACCACAATCTTACTCTTAAAGCATCTATTTTAAGATGTACATTAACCTTAAGAAAATGCCTCTCCTAAAATGAACTATGGCCTGATTAACTTGCCAGTATAACGTCTGTAACAAGAGTATAACAAAACGAATGTATGCTCAGGTATAACATGAATATAACAAGAATCTCCCAATGGATTTACATAGAGATGGAAGAATTATACAACCTCTTCCTCTCCTGTTTCTCCTAAGCTGCAGTGAGTGGAGGGGCTGTATTCACCTACTCACTACCCGACCCATAGATCCTTTCTATGGATCTGTGCCTTTCCATAGGTGATCTGCAGTGGCTAGCCAAGGGAGAGAGTACAGCAGGCCTGATATTATAAGGAATGTGCAAGTAAACTGAATGGATGAGATTACACATTTGTAATGATTTAGTACGTAAAATTATTTAGTGCAGTGTATTACCAGTTTGCTTCATGACAGAACTTTCTAAAAGATTTAAAAAGTAGAGGAAATCCAGTCAAATTGATAGTCTAATTTGCAAATACAATTTTTATATTTCATATCTTAACAAATGAAACTGAACAATACCACAGTTGTGTTTAATATCTTGACTTTCCTAACTCTGTCAACGTTTAAAGCCTATTGGAAATAATATCAAGAATGATGCAAAGTAAACACCGGTTATCAGGTGGAACAAAAGCTTAGGTTGAGTACTCAGAGGATGAGTTAAACCAAATGTCCCCAACCTTTTTGACAGCAGGGATTGATTTTGTGGAAGAGATTTTTTTCCATAGACTGGTGGATGGTTTCAAGGTGATTCAAATTTATTATGTGTACTGTACACTTTATTCCCATTATTTCATTATATAATGAAGTATACAATGAAAGAATTGTACAACTCACTATAATGCAGTAGCAGTGATAGCCCTAGACTTGTTTTCCTGCAACCAGATGGTCCATTCTAGAAGTGATGGGAGGCAGTGACAGCCAAAGTATGTTGTTTATGTCCAGTCAGTCTCATTTTGGTTGCCGTCACTGCAGAAAAGCCTGCTTTGAAAGGACAGGCTGTTGGAAATGGAGGCAGGCTTTTCAGTGCTTTTGTAGCAATTTCAGATATTCTGCCTTGACTTTAATCCAGAGTGTATGGAAATATGGAATTTAAAGGCTACCATCATTTCTGATCTGAAGCACTTGATCCTCTCGTAGCATGGACAATTCTGTTCATCTGGCATATTCACAAATGGGTCATGGATGTTTTTTTCCCAGTTGGAGGGGGTCTTTTGTGGTTGGGGAGTAATACTTAAACTCTTCTGAAAGCTGAGGTAGGTGATCATATACCAGCTGGGAGAAAGAAGGCTCTGACTCAGTCTCTTTCAAAATCTCAGCTGTTTCAAACGTCAAAAATCCCAATGTTTATTTGCCACCTTTGTAATTTGTTTGGCTTTGAATGCATCCACTTTATCTACTGACTTGAACACAGTTGTCATTCTCTCCTGAAGTGACTGAGTTTGTTTAGCAGGTTAAATGTCATGAATAGGCAAGTTTTGCAACCCATTCTGTGTCAATGAAATGTGCTATCAGTGGTGACTGTTTTTCTAAAAGAAATTTCTGGAGTAGCTCTCATAACTCAGAAACTCTGGCCAGTGACCTTTAAGAAACCATCTCACTTCTGTGTGTATGAGAAGATGTGGGTGCTCTATGTTTGTCTCTTCAGAGCTGCATGAACAAATGTGAGTTAAAGGCATGTCCTTTAATGTGGTTGACAATTTTGAACACATCCTGCAAAATGTTAAGACCAGGTGACATTTTTCAGCTAATCAGCATAGTCTCACATTCAGAAGCAACCTCCTTAAACTGAGTGGTGGGACCAGAAAGCTGTCCAGCCATGGCACTCACTCTGTCTGTGCATATACACATACAATGGCCCATTCAGTTTTCCTGATAGGTAATCATTCAAAGGTTTGAACAGTTCTGTGTTGTGCTGTTGCCTGGCAACAAAGTACATCTATTTCCTTATGTACATCCTCCTGAAAATATATCAAACAAAAACAAACATTATTACCTTATTGTCAATATCAGACTTGTCAACCTGGATTTACTGTAGTGATTCATGGATTCTAACAGTTATGCCTCAATATCCTGATACTGCATCAGAATTACATCAGTTTGTCTAGTTACAGTGCTAGCTTGAAGAGAAATATGCTACCTTTGCACTGTTTTCCCTAAAATTTATGTACAACAAATGTCCTTAGCAGCAAGCAGTGGTAAAGGGCTTCCTGTAGCAATGTGGTTACCTACTGAGAATGATGCTCTCAGTGTGGACACATTTAGTGACGTGGTGGCCTTCAATAATTGTTTCTGTTTTTTTTTTTTTTCATTTGGAAAGCTTCAAGGGCTTGTCTTTTAATGAGGGTGCTTGGTTTCCATATGGTGAAGCGTTGTGAAGGTTACACAGCTGCAGTGGCTAGTCATTCAGTGCATATTGTAGCGTGGCTTGGAGAATGAGTCAACTTGCAATGAACTCATAATTTAAGTGGTGTTTTAAATGCAGTTTTCTTTTTGTTGTCAGTCTTAGAACCTTCTGCTCTCTCATCAAGTTTCCCCCCTTTTCAAAGAAGCTTTCCAGTGATGTTGTTACCCATTTTGGCTAGGGTTAGCTTATAGGTTTACTGAGACAAGTGCACAGTGCAGGAAAGACGTATAAACAAAAGTGGTAAACAAATTGGGCAGCCCATGTGCGGACTAACGCAAGTGTTGGATTTTAACTAAATATCTGCCACCAAATGCAGCTGTACAACTGAATTACAACTCACTTGTCACTATTAAACCTGTTACCAGATTCTGCTTATTATTTGCAATTCACTGATAGGGTTTTGCAAACTATTTATTTATTACAGTTTTTGTGCAGTCAAATCTCTCTGCCAATGTTAATTTACATTTGCAGATGGTTCCCAGTGTTTGCATTACCACCTCTGCTCCTCAGATAATCAGGCATTAGAGTCACATAAGGAGCCTGAAACCCAGATCCCTTGCACGCACGGTTCACAGTAGGGTTTGCACTCTTATGAGAATCTAATGCTGCTGTTGATCTAACATGAGAGCTAAGGCAGTGAGAACTGTGAGGAACAGCTGTAAACAGAGATAAAGCTTTGCTTGCTCACTCACCACTCACCTCCTGCTCTGCAGCCTAGTTCCTAATGGCTATGGGCCCAGTGGTTGGGGCCCCTGGGACTAAACTGAATGATGGAAATTTTATTCCTTCTAAGAAAATGAACTGTGACATCTGATTGAAAGGTAATTTGAGTAGTGGGAAACCTGCAAATAGAAAGGTGAATTACAATAAGCTTCTTTTATTCCTCCATTAATTTTAGCTTACAGGAGTCTTCCACTTATTTGGAAAAGAAAATGTCTTGTGCAAGCAACCAAGTGGACTCCATGCTCCAAAACATGTGGGATGGGAATATCTAACAGAGTAACCAATGAAAACAGCAACTGTGAAATGAGAAAAGAGAAAAGACTATGCTACATTCAGCCTTGCAACAGTACTATGTCAAAGCCAGTAAAGGTAAAGTGTAATTATACTTCATTATAATCCAGTACAACTTTGTGTAATGTAAATATGCATATTTTGGAGGGACAGTATTTGACTCATAAAAATAAAAGCTCATTGTAACTATCTCATTATCATTTTAAAGCAAACCAGATATTACCCTTCCTGCACTTTGTAGGGAATATTTTATCTAGTAGAGATAACGTTAACCTGGAGATTCTCTTATATTTTAACAGGTTAATAATGTAGGTCTTGGTCAGCCTGATTTGTTGTAACCTGTCATGCATCCTTTTCAGATTCTACCTTTTTTCTTTTCCATATTAATTGTACATAGTAGAATCAAAGTAATGAATACAAAATTTTCATTGTAAAATGAATTTTCGTTCTAATAGAGAAGTTTTGATCTTATATCAACTTGGAGGTCACACCATTTGTAAAATGCTCTGTGCTTATTAGTTTATTTGCAAAGGACTATGATAAAATATTTACTTCTAGAAGAAGGAAGATAATTGTAAAATCCTTATTCCCAAGGGATTCCCTAGTCTATCAACAAGCTGACAGCTCAATTTTTAGAAATATATATATTCATCTATATATCCACCCCAAAATGTCTGAGCTGTATTAGGGAATTTACTATATTATAGGTAAATAAACATTTAATAAGACATAGCTCTTGATAGTAAACAAAATATTTCCATGGATTGTGGAACTGAATAAAATACAGCAGGAAAAAATTGAGTCCTGCAATATAATGGAGCAAGAACAAGGACAGACTTAAGGTTAGGGGACACCTTAAAGGTAGACGGTGCTGCAAGTCACTAAACAGCAAATATTAATGTCCCAGAAATTGTCCAATCTCTATGTCTGTGCCAACAATGTTCTACACAATGTTTGCCCACATATTATAAACAAATTTAAGCAATTACTCTTAATTTTGTTTCTTTTCAGATCCCCAAGGGAAAAACATGCCAGCCTACTTTCCAACTGTCCGAAGCTGAAAAATTTGTCTTTTCTGGATGCTCAAGTACTCAGAGTTACAAACCCACTTTTTGTGGAATATGCATAGATAAGAGATGTTGCATCCCCAATAAGTCTAAAATGATTACCATTCAATTTGAGTGCCCAAATGAAGGGTCATTTGAGTGGAAGATGCACTGGATTACATCTTGTGTATGTCAGAAAAACTGCAGAGAAGCCGGAGACATATTTTCTGAGCTCCAGATTCTATAAAACCAAGCACAAGTGTGTATGTGGTGGTGTTTTAAGGTTAATCATTATGTCATATAATTAAAAAGGTAGAGTGGTGGTAAATCTACTTAATGGATTTAAAGTACTAAGAATAGATGTTCTCAGATATCTTAAGATATCAGAAGCTTCTAAAAGAGTTTTTCCTAAAAATATATACAAAACTTAAACAATTTAAAATTGAATTCATTTCTGCAAATATATTACAATAATGTAATATAATCATTTGGTATTATCTAAGCATTCAAAATATAACAAAGTTTTACTATTTACAAGAAAACATTTTATTTTACAAAATAATTGAGAATACTTAGCTAATATGTTTAAAAACACTACATTTTTAAGCTTTAATCTGTAGCTGGCAATGCAGCCTAGACTCCTATCAGATGATAATTACTACAGGGCTGAAAGGATTCGAAATAAATTCTTGAAGAAAAATAAGATTACACTATAAATACATTTATAATTTTCATTGCCAAATCCTAAATATTAGTTATGATTTATTTTAGGATAGATGATTTATTTTAGGATAGAGGAAAGTGGAACTTTCTGGCTACTGTTAACAAGTGTAATGCAGAAGTTTTTATACCAAATAATGTAAAAAAACTAAATTTCCAAGATAAGGACCAAGAACAGTAGTGACACCTTGCAAAGGAAAAACACTTAAAAGACAAACACTAAAGAAAGCATACAACAGATTTTGGCTTGAAAAAAAATTGTTCCTAAAAATTACTTCCTTATAAATCCACTTTATCTGAAATACAAATTGTGATTAAAAATAAATTAATGCTAACTCAAATTGCAGGTTATAGTAAGTGGAACACACTACACTACCACACCACTTAGTAGTACAAAGGTGAGAAGAGACTATGAAGCTTAGTTATGTTTTATTCACTTATAAAAATGGTGACATACAAAACAATAACAAGTAGCAGTGTTTAAAAACATGGACATTTATTATAAAATCAGCTGGCTTGATAAAAAGTCAAATGTTTAAAATAATTTAATATAAATACATGTTAAATGTCTAAATTGTGATTCTTCTGAGTGCAAAAATTGTTACGTAAAGAAAAAACAAAATCTCCTTAATAGATGTAATAAAGTCTATCCCTGAAAAGTTAGTGACTATTATGTGGAAATATTACTGTATTATTTTACTCCTAGTACTTACTTTTAAAGTATCAGGAGAATTTAAGCAAAATATCAAAATATAAATATCAGTATAAAAATATATCTGTACATGATTTTTATTATCAGTGTATAAAGGTCTAAATATGGGGTTATAAATAAAGCAGTCTGTTGAACAACTGCATTTTCTCAATGTTCTCAAATTGCTTGAGCTATGGGCTTCACTAACTGCACACACTGGTATCATAAATAAATTGTGATTAAATAGAAAACACTCTTAGATAAATATTTTCTCAATTACAAAAAACTGAAACAGGTGATGAGGGCCAATGTGAAGTCAGGAAAAGCGACAGCTGTGTGTTTAGGTTTCTTCCTCACACGGCTATGCTTAGTCTAGGCACATCCTCCACAGGCACGCTCTTGGTGGCGTCCAGCTGGTTATACTCTTGGATGAGTGCTGACAGAGATGACACAGCTTCCGTGAAACAGCTTTCCTCCATCCCTTCAACTTGTAGATAGTGATGGAGGTGAGCCTATAAGTGATAAATTGATGACACTTACCATTCCAGGAACTTTAATATATCCAACTGTCTTATAAGGTAAACAGTCTTTGCTAAAGTTCATCAGCTCTATAGTGGAAATGAGAGCTTGTGTCAAATGAGTATTTTGCCTAATCCTATAAACTCATGAAATTTCTCATGTAGAGTAAAAACTATTATGACTGAGCCTCTCCTCTTCAGTTATAGTCAGTATAAGAAGCATTGCAGAAAAGGGAAGGTCAGTTCTAATTTTTAGTGTTAAACCTCAAGTAACCAAAACAAGCAGAGTCATAAAGGCATGCATTTACCTTTTTCTTGTAGAGTCTCATGAACCTCTCTCTCAGTTCAATGAAGGTAGGCTTCACACATGTGTTATTTGCTAAAGCCAATAATGAATGAGAGTGGCCCACAGGAGGTACTGAACACAGGCTGGTCTTCCAGCCTTCTTGATTCCAGGAGACAAACTGTAGAGAAGGCTTTAATCTGAGACACAAAATGCAAACGTAAGAACTAAGGTACTAAAAGATCTGTCACATCATGGCAGCCTGCATTAGCTAAACAAGGACATTACTGATGGCGTCACCCTAATTGTTTAGTTTATAATCTAAGTTATCTATTTTTTGCTAGTAGCAGTGTCATGAGATAATATAAGAGTGAACAGAGACATTTAATTTGGGGGCTTTTAAATGAGCTGTGACGGTGATTTAAAAAGCTAAAAACACATTCTCTAAAATCAGAAATCTGGGGGTAAAAATAAATGAAGATATAATTTTCTTTACTGGCAATTCAATAGTTTTCATAAAAACAGACTGTCAAAATACCAAAACAAACTTAGAAGCTTCCTGGCAGTAGCTGTGGAGGTGGCAGTACAAATAATTATCAACTACACTTTCTGAAAACTTTCAGAAAATAAAATGCCTCTTATGTAATTTAATATTCCTAAATAACTTTGTAATACTCTTCTTAGTTTACACTTGAACAAAACAAGCACCACTAGGTTAAACAGTTTGTCTGCGGTTACACTTGAGGAAGTGGCACTGCTGTAATTAGAAGAAAAGCTGTGCTATACTATCCCAAGCAGTACATGAATTACCTTAAAAACCAAAAACAAACCTTTCAATATTTCTGCGTAGATCTGAAATCTGTACATTTCCTCTAACCATGAGGGCACAAGCAAGATAGAGACTGTGTTTCGGGTCTGCCTGAATTAGCTGGTGATCTTTATTAAAGGCATCTGAAAACATCTGATCCAACCTAGAACAATTGAAGAGTTGTCGTTTATACAAAATAATACTGGTTTCTTCTATGTATCATTTTTTATGATAAGACAGTGATCTGTGGGTAAAAGAAATCTGTACCCTTAACATAATATGTACTATTCTAAATATATTCCAAATATATTAAATAGGCACCTACTGTTTTCTCAAAGGAATTTTGATAAATATGAGAGGAAATCATACATCATGATTTTTTTAAAGAAACCTATAGTAACTGATTTTAGGTTAACTACAAAATGTTGACTACTGCATTAAAGAGCACTACAGAGTACTGAGTTCTGATCTGTATCACTGTTTAGTTCAGTATGCTTATCTACTTCAATAGTGTCAGAACTATCAAAATTAATTAAAAATGACACTAAAGACTATTACTTCTCTTTGTTAATCATATTATAAATGTTAAAAATAACAGGAGAAAACTATCAAAGGATAATGTGAGGCTCCTACAAAGATTAAAGTCTGTAGCAGTGCTCCCAAAAAGGGAGACTAAACAGAAGCATTATACCTGAAAGGTAAAAGATAAAAGATTGTCTTTTTCCATTAGTTGTAGAAGAAAATAAAGGTGACCTGCAAGAGTTTGTACCTAACCAATGCACAGCCTCCTTAAAGGGCCTCATTTTGATACTTAAATACTAGTTAAGTCAATATAAACATGACTATGTTCCTTAGTTTAACTGTAGGCAGAGCTTTATGTGCTGAACCTACAGAATATCAGGCAGAGCTGCAGAAATATATGCTATTTATTTTTAACAGATATCTATTAAATGCTGACAATATAACTGCAAAAGATCTAGCTGTGAACAAAATACACATTTCTTTCTCTAATGGAGTTCATATTCTTTGTTGATTATTGTACAGAGGAGGGAGAGGGTCCCCTGAGGGACAGGTGAGCTTTGGGGGACTCACATATCCTTTGCTATTACATTCAAAATTTTGGTGTCTATGTGGTTTGGGGCATTTGCATGGAGCCAAGTTATAGAGATTGCTTTAGAGACAGAGATACAGGAAAGATTAAAAATAGCCACACAATAAAGTCATACTCAATTTATTTTCTTGATACATAAAATTAAAAAAACAACTACTATGGAAGTATTATAATTATTGGGATACTCATTTTTATTCATTTGTGCTTATTATTTATTTACTGAAGGAAAAATGATTGCCAGTATGCTGTGATGGCAGACTTTCAAATATCTACCTTAGAGCAGAAGGAAAAAACAACATCTCCTAAATCCCAAGAAAGATAGTAAGAACACTATGACAAATTTTTTGAGATTAACATTTTAAAATTTCCCTACACATTTTCATTACTACAATTTGAAAATAAATGTTCACCTTAAAATTATGATTACAATAAAAATGACACAGGTATTACTTTTATTAAAATATATCACATAGGATTATAGATTACTTGACTTTGAAATATTCAGATTGAAGGATAAAGTAAAAGCATTGTTTCTTTATGCTTAATTAGAAATGTTATTTTTTTTTTAAGAATTAACTTCATAAATATGTCTGAATTACACTACTGTACAATAAACAGTTTAGTACCATACAAGTTCATCATCTGTCATGTTCCTCAAGTATTACACTGTCGCCCTGTCAGAACTTTAACAATAAAACACAGTCTTTAGTTTTCACTTTCTCACTCACATACTCTCTCTCCTCTTACAGTGTTTGTTTTCCTTTCAGCTGTGAATGAAAGTGAACTTTTCCTGGTCATCATCGCTGTATATAAGAACATCTTTTTTTTTTTTTTTTTTTGGTACCGGTAATCAAACTCAGGACCCTGTGCTTGCCAGGCAGGCGCTTATGCCACTGAGCTATATATCCCCAGCTCCCCATAATAGAATCTTTTGGGGGCTGGGGATTTAGCTCAGCGGCAAAGCGCCTGCCTGGCAAGCGCAAGGTCATGAGTTCAGTTCCCGGTACCGGAGAAAAACCAAAAGCCAAAAAAAAAAAAAAAACCCAAACAAAAAAACCCAGAATCTTTTAAAACCACATTTTTTGTTAAGTGCATTAATGTAAATTCTATGTTTACAAATGACACATACACAGAAAACAAGGTGTTCTGGAAATGATATATAATCACTATAATATCTCATCATTGGACTGTGATAAAAGCTTTAAAATGTACTCATTAAATCTACTCACTAAGTATATGAGATAAGTGTTCTTTTATTTTTATAGAGAAAGAAAACTAAGATGAAAAGTTTAAACCTGCCCATGGTTCTGTACCAAGGAAGTGTTACATATCTTTACGCATTTTCAAAAGGCTACAATTTTAATCACTGGATTTAATTTCAAATAGTTTAATACTGACATTTTTAAATTCTAAAGAAGCATTCTTCTAATGAAAAATGGCTATCAACTATTTTAAACACTTCTTACATAAAATGATACCAATAACTAGAATTACTATTAACTTTTTCTATTGAAATTTGTTTTCAAGTACTTCAACTTCTCAAGAAATTAGAATTGAGTTACATCTTACCTCCGAGGAGGAATGTTGACATCTGCTAGTGTATACAGAGGTGTTAGGCTTGACACAAGATAATGAAGTTGAGGAAATGGAACTAAATTCATACTGATTTCATTAAGGTCCATATTAAGGGATCCTTCAAACCGTGCAGAGCTAAAAGGCAGGTATTAAAACAATGAGAAAAATTTAAAATGTAAAATGATACACTTTGAATTAAACACATACAGGTGAAAAATTAATCACTGTAGAAACTTTGCCAAATTTTGTAAGGGTCTCCTTAATGTTCTTTATAATCTGGAATATAATAACTCTAAGAAACCTTGGTGATTAAAGTCATGAAACTATTTTAGATCAGCTAACAAGGAGTGATAGATTAGCTAGTTTAAAAGTAAGACATTCTATAGCAAAGAAAAAGTTTAATTTTGTCTAATTAAGTACTTCTCAAGTGTGCTTACCACAAAATCGTTATGAACATTATTATTTATTTCCAGAAATATCCTTAAGAAATACAGCTTCAGGATCACGGAAATTAAAACTCTAGTCTACACTAACAAGAGGTAAAAAGACAAGGGCCGGGGATATAGCTCAGCGGCATAAGCACCTGCCTGGCACGTGCAAAGTCCTGAGTTTGATTCCTGGTACCAAAACAAAAACCAAAAAACAAGACAAAATAAAGAAGCTCTTACAAGTTAGAAAAATAAAAATGCAACTACAGAAATGTCAAACATCATGAAAAGCGCAGTAGTTTTTCAACTGTTCTCAGCTGGATTACCTTGTTAGATGGAGCAGCAAATTTGCCACAATGTTGTTCATTGCATCGAAGGGCTTCTTATGCCGTTTAAGTGCCCTAGCACTTGAGGTAACCAGACTGTCTTGCTTCACAGTTGGACCCAACTTTCCAGAACTCACCACGAGGTCTATTCTGCTAATGATGTCAAATAATGACTTTTGGAAAAAAAAGATTGGGAGAAAAACTATTAAGAAAAGTGGACACATTATATTCTATTAGGAAAGAAAGAAGAGAAAGAAAAATAATTTAAACTTATTTTTTCTTTTTGATGAGAAAAGAAAACAAAATGTTTGATACAAACACATTACACAGGACTATGTATACATCGTTTGTCCACAAGCTTCAGTGCCATTTCTTACTTGATTGTCAATGGGCAACACACAGTCTGCATGCTCATTAAGTTCCTTCATCGCCAAGATGCTATTATAAGGTGAGGTTATGACATCATCCTCACTGGAAGGGTAAACTGAGGTCACAAATCTGTATACTTCTGGGAATTCATCTTCAAGCACCTTTAAAAGAAATGTGCCAAGTCCAGATCCTGTTCCTGAGGATTAAAATTTTAAAAAGAAAATAGTGAAATGATACAGAATGTTACTGTGAAGAACTTGGAATTTTATGTTTTACTGATAGAAATAATTTTCAAGTTATTCTTGTCATTACATATTAACTAATCTAATTTCAGATAAAGAAAAAGGAGGGCAACATGGATAGTCAGGTGTTAAGTCCTGAATTCTATTTCTGGCTCTAACCATGAGTCTGGGATGGCTTTTCATATTTCACTCATTTTCATACTGAAATCATTAGATGCAAAGATAACTAATTGAACAGTGAAAAATTCAACTAAGTATTGAGTGTATACTTGATATTAAACTTAAAACCTATGTTGATTCTCCTGTTGAATAAATCTGATAGAAACAGCAGTTTTTATATCTTCTGTTGTATTATAAAAATTAATGAAAAATATGCAAGGTTCAGTCATCCCATATTTAAATAATTGGACTGAAAAGTGGTTAATGATAGTATGGGTATACATTATTATTAGTGTGAATTGGTATCTTACTGTACAGTTACATAAGTTATCAGTCAAAATTTAAAATGCTTATATTCTTTGGTTCCATCTTCCAGACATATAAATATTGCCACAGCTATAGTCACAAATGCACTTGTATATATACCAGGCATTCTGGTGATTATACATAATAGTGATTATACATAATAATTAAACACATATGGTATATATCATGTACACTTCAATTCTATGAGATCAAGCTGACAGTGAAAAGACATTTTAAGATAAAAAGTGAAAAACTTATACAATGATATGTATTTTACAATCTCATTATGTGAAAAACACATATACAGCCCAACAGGCATAGAAAATATCTGCAAGAATCAACATTAAAAACCCCAAAACCTGCAATCTTGATTACATATGAGGATATTTACTAGATATGGAAGAACTTTTCTTTCAGTCTTCAGTATTATTATTTTTATTATTTTCAGTGAATTATGAATCAAGTATATTTTCTGAGTTGTGGGATTACAGGGATTTTAAGAAAGGTAAAATAACTGTAACTCTCATTTTTTTTGGAGAAAATGTACTCAAACTAGTGGGTTAATTATATTAGTATAAGGACAATTTGTTTCTGAATTTAATGATTAGGGTGGCTTTTCTAAAGGTATATTTACACAACAAATATAATTTTAATTTTAAAAAGTTATGACAATAAATGATATGTGTTACAATTATATATAATTTGTTGAATATAAAATCTTAATAATCTTAGCTTGGAGAAAATAAGTGTGGCAATTCTTTTTCTTTGAAAGCTTGTTAATCTTATTTCAAAACTGCCAAATTATATTTTGTTTCTATTTCATAGGTGAACAAAATACTTCAATTCTAAATTACAGGCTTCCCTGTAGAAAGAAAGAAATGTAGATCAATCATATACTTCTGGTTCAAATTGATGAACAAACATGTAAGAATTAATTTAAAGAAACTGGTAGACGAGAATTCTACCACTGAACTACCCATGCACCAAGAAACTAGAAGAATTTCTTTTACTCTTTTTGCCCCCCTCTTATTGGGGATGAGAAAAGCCTGAAGGTGGGTAAACAAGGGTACTAATAATGTTTGGCAAGTACACAATAAGAACATGTCAGAAATGCTCAGTTATGATACAGGATTAAATAAGTGAAGTATGATGAGAAAGTATGAGTTCCTCAAGAGCTCACATATCCTGAAATGTCACTGAGAATTGTACAAAAGTAAAGGTAGAAAAGTAAATTTCCCATACAGTTCTGCTGATTTGTGAAAAGGGCTTAAATTAAAAGAAAATTGATAACTGAATAATTTCACTAAATTTTAAGATCAAAGCTACATATAACATACAAACACAAATGGTCTAATTCCCTCTATTAAGCACAGGTTTGAACGCAATACTTAAGTTTGCAAAATGAACTCCTACTTGCATTTTAACACTGTCATAAGGAAATGAGAAAATCACTTTACCTCCTCCCATGGAGTGTATTATAAAGAAACACTGCAGACAATCACAGTGCTCTGCAGATTTTCTGAGTTTCTCTAAAATTTGTTCTCGGTAAAGATTGCCAAAAACTTTGTGACCCACAGCCCTAAAAATAAAGAGTACATATTTTTAAAAGTCCTTGCATTTATTACTTCTTCATCTTGTTATTTCTACCCTAAATAAAAAGATTATAGGAAAATAAGAGAAAGTATTTTAATTGTATTGAGGGAAATACATTCTTATTGTATGTTAAATCATACTACAATATTCTGAAAATTCTTATTGTATGTTAAATCATACTACAATATTTAGAAAATTTAATGTATATTACATATATTAAATTTTCAAATATCTTTGTAAGATAGCTCACTAGCACTGCATATTCAATCATGGTGTTCTAATTTTATCTTCCCAGCTTTTAACGTAGGATTACAACAAGATTTCAATTCCATAGTTTTTTTCTTGTTTCCAGTTAAACTGTTCCAAAACTGATTTACAGCTTTAACATAATGCCAATCAAAATACCAACAACATTCCACACAGATCTTCAGAAGACAATCCTAAAATTCATGTCAAACCAGAGGAGACATGAAGAGCAAAAGCAATTCTGGGTTAACAACAGCAAAAAAATTTAAACAATAAATTCTGAACTGCAAAACTAGATTGAAATCAACTACTAAGATACTGAAGATGAGAAATTTTAAACTAGCCTATCCTGGGTGAAAAGAGGCAGAAAACTAGACGCCTGTTAGATGGAGTGGCAAAAGGCAGAAAACCGATACTCCTCTGCAAGGTTTTTGGTTGCTCAATCTGAAATGTCACTAGTGAGGAATTATAGAATCAAAATCATTTTCCCATTACATGCAGTCAGGTGGACTAAGTTACACGATAATTAGAGGAAGCCAGATGGGTGGTCAGACAGGCTTACTTATTAAGTGACTAATTTTCCTTAAATGAGTTTCCCACAACGTAAGATTCAAATTCATGCTTCAATAAAATTGTACATCATTCCATATTATCAGCCCAAGGGATTGGTAGCAAATACTTAAAGTAATACACATGAGAGTTGGAAGCAACAAGGAGCTCCTTAACTTTTAAAAAAACATAAAAAATAGTCTCAATATGAATTTTTATGATTATTGTTGAATCACTTAAAAGGACACTATTACCTACATAAGGGACCAAACAACCTCAAGCTCAGCCTGGACACGAACATATTGGTCTGAATTGCATCTTTGTATAAGCTCTATTCTGACCAACTGGAGAATTTGAGAGAGTCAAATAATATAAGTAAATGAGCAGTTTACAAAAGCACTTAAAATTTGTAACTAGTGTTATATGATAAATGTATACATATAATAAGTCAAATTTTCATGATTCATATTTTTCTTTTAAGAACATTAGAAGTAGGAGAATAGTAAATACAGGTGCGTTCCAAGCGTTGTGAAACATCATTTATTGAGTCAAATAAGACAAGACTAAGCAGCCTAGCTTGAGGTGTGGCAAACTGTATCTTACATTTGTCTCAGTAGAAGGAAACAATGCTTGATTTTTACAGGTGATATTCAATGTTTACTTTCAACACATTCTCACCAATTATTTCCTGAGCCAGAAATATCAGTGATGAGCTGTTTGCTATCAAATACATCTCTCAGCGGTCCCTGGAGAATTTCATTTACTACCCCTTCTTCCATGTCAATCAAGACAGCCTGAAAGACAAAATGTAATTGGTATACTTTCCTTCAGAGTTCTTTATAAATGAAAAGAATTTACAAGCTATCAGTTGCATTATTTTTTATAGTTTAAGCTTGATTAAAATCTTTCTTGATACAGATCTATGTAAGAATTAAAAAGCAACTTCCCTCTCCTCAAAAGGTGGAATCTAATTGAAAGATGGATTCTAAACTTATCTTACTCCAAAATGCCAAGTGGTAAAAAAGGGCCCAACAACCCCTCAACTGAACTTTTAACAAGGTCTTAGAAATCTAGATGGTAACTTTAATTAGAAAAAGTTCTCAATAAATGCAGGATACATCACTAATTCATTCGCACATTAGGAACAACCACAGTGTTCTTTATGAATCACAGCCGAAAACTGTACCATTGAAGTGAATAAACTTACTATTATGTGCAACACCAAGGCACTGAATAGATGGCAAAGATACAAGAGTCCCTTCCTCCAATTAATTTACAATTTAAAATTCATTGCAGCACACTTTATTCACATGGAATATACTACAATGAAGAAAATGAAAACACATGAGGTATAATTGACATATGTTGAATGTTCATATTTTTAAAGATTTGTAACAGGACAAAATACATTGCCATTAATCCCTGTCAAAATACTCTCCTTCATTTATCTCATTATTCTTGCCACTTTAGGCAATTCTAGGTGTCTCTCATCATTTTTTTTATAATATCTGATCAAAACAGATAGGGAATGTTGCTGATGATTGCCATGCACAGAAATACAAGTGTTTGAAAATATTACAGTATGGTCTTATCTACCTTATTCATCAGATATGGCACGGTGCAATGTCTGGCTCCTCCCCAAAGTCAAAATGGCTACAAAAGCACATGTTCTGAATTGATTCAGGATATAGAGGCAGCCATGACAGTACAACTAAAGGACAAATAAAGGATTTCCAAAACTGTTTAAGAAGATGGCAAGAAGGATGGAATACATGTATTTGATGCAAGGGGGAGTACTTGGAGGGGAGTTAATGGCAATGTTTTCTCTACTGCAAGAAATAAAAACATTCACTGTGTTTTTGATCACCCCTTATAAAACTAAGTATAGTATAAGAAGAAAAAAGACTGAAGGATATACAGAAGATGTAAACAGGCAGTAGGATTATATGTTCCTTCTCCTATTTCTTTTACTTTCTGTATTATGTTGTACAGTGTGGGTTGGGAGTGTAGATCAGTGGTAGAGCATGTACACAAGGCCCTGGGTTTAATCTTCAGTACCAGTAACAAAACATAACAAGAATGACCCCCCTCCATAGCAAAACACAAAACAAAAATGAAGTGAAGGAGAGTAAAAAGTATAATATAAAAGACGTAAGTAAAAAGGTGAGACTGAAATTTTCTGAAATAACATTAGGGTATACTATATAACTCTGATTTAGTACTTCAAATAACTGCTTGGGTTATGGTTTTTTTTTAGTTGTTGGGATCATGTAGCTAACATTACGCAGTTTCTGCTTGCCGCCATTGTAAATACTTTATACACATCAATCCGGTTAATCGACACAATCCTGTGGACAGGTATAATCATTCTCATTATACGTGTGAGGAAAATGGGGCCTAGAAAAGTTAAATAATTGCACTAAGATCACCCAGCCAGTAAATGGTAGAGCTGAGATTCAGACCCATATAGCCTGGTAGTGTGAACCTTCACTCCTAATCACCAAACTCGGTTCTACTAATTGAAGGGGGCAGTAAAGTTTCATTTACAGATTAATGATTATAATAGCATTACAATTTAAACATATTTAAATTCTGTGAATTTTTTTATGCTACTTATTGGAAGATATACAATTAAAATATTATAGCAATGTATTACAAAGGCTATAAAACTATGCTTTGTAAATGTGTTCCTTGTATATATAGCAATCATTTTATACATTTTAGATACATAGGACTATATAGGGATATATACTGGAAATTTTAGGGATTTTTAAAAAGATATTTCTGACAACATAAAATTTTATTTTAAATGCTGTCTTTAACACCTAACCAACTACAAAAAAATTGTGGTAGTATTAAAAGCAGTATAAGACTATAAAAGGAAAAAAACTTAGCCATGCTCCAAAACCGATTTGAGATGTTCTATGGAGGATTAAAGGTAAATAAGGCACAAAACTGATTACTTTTCTCTCTAGCAGAGGCAATACACAGAACAGATTACTGATATTTCAAGCTCTTAAGTCATTTAGCATTAAAATCCTGACAAAACACGTAACTCTTTTAACATTTCTTCAGTCATATCAAGTCCTTGATCTGGTTTTCCACTGGCCTTAACTAAATTTTGACAGAGTATTCTGAGTTCATTTAGGCATCCGAATTCTGGAGTCACAACTGTTCTAGAACTTAATGTTTATGTTTCCTTCCACAGCCATATGGTAATAGCTTCTGGCTTTTTCCTAATTGTAATATAGGGTTTACAAAATTCTAAGTATTTGCCTATTAACCTCAGACATAGGGGAGAAATGCAGGCACCAAGTAATTTTGTGAAGTCTGGGATCTTAGTGATCACAGTCACATAAAAGCAAGAGTTGCTAGGAGAAAACCGGACTACTTTCTTGAATAAAAGTCAAAGACTATAGAAATGTGCTGACTTACTCTTTCTCAAGTGTTTCCTCTACCTTCCATCATTTTCAATTATACAGTGGTAGGAAAGAACTCAAATTAGGAATAGTCCAGGAAATGTCAAAGTGTTCTTTTCTCTCTATGGAAGGTTTGGATTGGGATGCTAGCTTTTATGTCATGGGGTATATGAAATGCTGATTATTCTAACAACTTACAAACATACAATCTTTGCCTTAAAGTTTTGTTTTTGAAGGACATTAAAGATCACAGAAATAGGAGCTGGTTCCAGGTGCCCCATTACTACTGATGTCATGTTTTCAGCTAAATACAAGGTCTGATCCTCAGCAGCTCAATTCTTTCCACAGTATTTAAGCTGACTTTATTATAGTCAAAGATTACTACTGAACAATCAAAAAAGTTTTTTTTACAGAGAAATACTCATAAAAGGAAAATGCTGAAATGACACTAATACTACACATATGGCTACTGACTTGAATTCTGTTCAGAAAAAGTTATATGGTTATGGTATTTATTCATTATAACATGGCTGTATCTGTTTTGCATTGGTAGTAACTCTGATGCAAATTAATTGTCCATTATCTTTAAATGAAAAACTAACCTGTAGCAGTATGTATTGCAAGTCCTTATGGTTAAGAAGGTACCTCTCCTTATCATTTATCTAGACAAATATTTTCCTTCAACACTGACAAAATGTTAAATTTACAGTGTTTTTACAGTAAGTATAGTTTTCCTAATATTGCAGGTAGACACATGTTATATTGAACATGGTCTAGTAAATGTTTTTACTTCAGAAGTCAAACTAAAATTTTATGGGCATGTTAAGAAGTATAGTTATTTTAAAAACACATGAATGTAAGTATCCAAGCATATATCTTACTCGTGCTTTTAAAGAACGTATTTTTCCCTTGGAAATACTGCTACCATCACCAACCACCCTGAAAGACAAAAAACAAACAAACAAAAAAGAGACAAAATCATATAATCTCCCAGAACTAATAACATTAACTTCAATTTATACACTATAGGTCAAGTGAGGTAGACACAAAAGCCATTCCTAACCTCCCTCTTCTTTGTCTTCTACTAGGTTGAAAAAGTGAGGTACTTATTTCCCGGACTTGATTTGTAGTTAGGACTGGCCATGTAATTCAGCTATAGCAAATGAGATAAGCAGAGGCATTCTGGGAAGCTTTTATGATAGAAAGGACCAGAAGCAGTTAGTGCCAAACTCCTTTCTCCTGCCTCAAACAGAAAATGTAAGTGATTCTTGGAGCCATTTTATAGTCATGAATAAATACGAAGACAAAAAGCCAACACACTAAGGGTAGAGTAAAGGACTAATACAGATGGAGTATTTAGTTCATTCAGGCAATTTTCTTCAAAGAAAATTAAGAGGAACTGATCTTCCTGCTAGACTATCCTATATTGAGATGTGTTTGTGAGATAGTAAACATACTGTCATTGCTTAAACTAGCACTATGAGGTTTCCTGTTGCAGCCAAACACAGAACTGATATAAAAATTACATACCAATGAGCAAGGCTTTTTCTCAAATTTTATACTGAAAATAAGCTACCAGAGCACTTAAGTCTATGACCAGCATTTGGATCAATAACAATAGTTCACAATAAAGCAGACTATATGAAGGGAAGCTGAGTTAACCACAGATGCTACAACCAGGGATTGGTAAATTACAGACCTTAGGCCAAACCCAACTAGGTGCCTTCCTTCGTAAGTAAAGTTTTCTCAAATTCACCCATGCTTATTCATCTATGTGTTACTGTTTGTGTGTGGATGTCCCCTCAAAGCCTCATGTGGTCACAGGTGGGGCTTTTAGGAGGTGGCTGAATGAAGGGTGTGTGCTGCTGGGATCAGGATGTGCTGCTGGGATGTGCTGCTAGGATTAAGGGTGTGAGTGCTACTTGCCCTAAGGGATAAAATAGAAGGGACAGAAATAGAGCTGCCACCACCACCTACTGTCTGTTGCTTGCTGCTTTTGCTGTCTTCTGCCTGCCATGAACTACTTTTCCTCTGTGATGACCCTCTGCCAGGCTTATCTTGCCTTAGTGCCAGCCAATTATGGACTGAAACCTCTACAAACTGTGAGCTACAATAAACCTTTACTTCTTTAACTATGGGTGCTGGGTATTTTGTCTCAGTAATGATTAAAGTAACTGAGACACTATGCTTTCATTCATGCTGTAAAAACAGTTGAGTAGCTATGACATAGACCTTATAATTTAGAAATTTAAAATACTTACTCTGGTCCTTTATGGAAAAGGTTTCCCAACTCCTGTTATGGGAAATGTTTATCATTCTATTAAAAAAGTATAATTTGATAAAGAAGCATACATGAAGATGTGGTCTCATTTTCAAAAGATATTTTGGTGAACAGAGGCTAGTGTTGACAGTGCACAGAAAAGCAAGATACCATCCCTCTTGTCCCCTCCTTCCCAAACCTGATATTGGGAAAGTAAGAATGTTCTCAGATTAAAGCCTACGACACATTACAAGCTTATGGACATATCCAGAATGTTGAGTTACTCTTTCAGATAAAAGATTTAAGATACTTACATATATCCTTTAATAAATATAGCAAACTTTGTTTTATGTAATTTACATAACATAGTTGAGTGTAAAAAAGAAAAACTCTCAGGCAGAGTCTCAACTATGTAAAGATTAACAAAATAGACTATTGAGAAAGGAAGGTGCGAGAATATGAACTCAACAGGAGAGGCATCTGAAAGAGCTATTACACAGGCCAATTTGTGTCAACCACAAGAATTTAGAGGAGAGGATGTTCTGGTCTACAAGTAAGAGGAAACTGGTCTATATGGTAACTATCTCTGTCTCATAAAGACAGGTGACACTGGGTATTACTATATCTAACTCCCCTCAATCTTTTTCCACAGTTACTAAGCAAGCATCGGATTATTATGTAGCTTTGCGACATTTCATACAAACTGTGCCTATAATACGAGTACATAGTATTTTGCAGTTATAATTTCTACCCTGACTTTCCTTTTTTAACCTCTCGTTTCTTTGAGTTTGGTTAATCTAATGCACTGCAGAGCACTGGCTCCATTCTCAAGGTGCAAAGAGCCAGGCTTCTGAGTCTGCAACTCTGAGCACTAGGCTTTCACCAGTGAAGACTAATTAACGTTTCCTAGAAGACAACAGCACAAATATTCAGTCAACTAATTCAAACTAGAATTAGAATTTTCATTGTATTAAAGCTTGATAGTATGGATTATTTTCAGGGCAAGCCCACCATATTTGGTTTTATTAAGTATTCTGAAAATTTATAAACTTAATCACTGAACATTAAAAGGTTATGGACATACTCTGAATGTCCAATTATTCTTTCAGATGAAAGATCTAAGGTACTTAACATACATCCTTTATTACACAAAAATAATCTGTCATATGCAGTATACACGATTTTTCTTTTATTCTGGCACATTCTGTAGTTAGGGCAAGTATTCTTAATCATAATACTAGAAAAATTAAATCATTTTTTCAAAAGTTAGCCATTACTAGGTGTGTTAACAAGATACCTTTGGAGAAAAATTCAGCTTGCTTCTTTAGTAAGTTTATTTCATGGTTAAGTTAAAAGGTTCCTTTGTTCCTTAATAAGATTTGTCCTGTTCTGCAGAATATGAAAACATTCCTGGCACAAGAATGTTTTCAATAAGGAAAATAAAAACGCTAGACAACTTCATAGATATCAACTGCTTTTACTGTCCTTTAAAGAATTTTCTCCCAACTTGTTGACATGAAAAGAAAGGATTACACTGTGTGAGACTCGAACCCCATCTTACCTGGTATCCACATTCCTAAAGAAGCTGCTGATTGCCTCATCATAAATTCCTTTCTAAAAAAACAAATGTTCATAGCATTTTTATTTTAACTCTTCTCCAAATAAAATCCTTTTAATAATTGCACAGTACTGCAATGGCTAATGTGTGACTATAAGAAAAAACAAATACCACAAAAACGCTTAGGCTGATTCTTCCAATATCTCGGTAGAACCGAGTAAAAGCCAGGAGCTGTACAGATTAAGTTCAGCAGCGCGTGAAGAAGGAAAGATTTCCCACAGGGCTGTAGAACGGGTGCATCAGATAAATTCTCTGGATTCCTGGTGATTTTAGAAGCTGACTAGTTAAATTACGGATAATAACCACAAGCATTCTCTATCTTACAAGGAACTTTAACAGGTACCGCCTGCTCCTCCCAAGGACACTAAGACCCTGAGATCGGGAGATATAAGTCTGTGGCCGGGGCTTGCGGTCTGCGGTGTCCGACGGCAACGCGCGAGGAAGCAGCTGCGCTCGACCCCGGTCTCAGGACTGTCGGGCGGGTAAGCGCTCACGCGAAACGTCCCCCGCTCGCTCTCCGGGAGACCGCGGCGGCCGCCGGCGCTGCGGTACCTGGTTGACCGCCGCGTGCTCCCTCAGCGCCAGGTCCCAGAAGCAGCAGCCGACCTGGTTCCCACACTGGCCGACTGCGACCAGGGCAGAGGAGAGAGAACGGACATTAGGCAGGAAACGCGATTAGGCACGGCGCTCCACGGAACACGGGTCCCCACGCCCCGGCGCGGCTCACCCTGGACGACCACCGACTGCGTCATTCTGACAGTGGCCAGCACAGGTCCCCTCCGCTTACACTCCCGCCTTTTCTCCCGCCCACAACGTCGCCGTACTACGGGGAGGCCGTAAGTCACTGTGCTGCCGCAAATTGCTGCCGTCGCTAAACCACTCTCTTGGTCCGGGCCACGGTGGGCCGTCAGAGGCGGCGCAAGCGCAGTTGCGTCGGGGTATTACTATAGCAACCGTGTCTCCAGACCGCCTATCCTTGCTGCTTTGTCAACATCTTTGAGCTGCAGCAGTTCCAGATGCCAGGCTAAACTGGTAACTAGGCTTTGCCGTGTCTTTTAAATTCGTGTCTTTAAACTCTTCGTGGGCCACGAGGGAGGGTTCGTTTACTCTCAACACCCTGGGTGTGGGTCACATCTCCTACTCAGATTTCACAGGAGGCAGCTTTAGCGTCGATATCCCTCTGCGTCAGCCTCCCAGAGTCCTGGGATTAGAGGCATGAGTCGCCACGCCCGGCGCCTTTGTTCTAATCGACAAACGCAGGGTGTCGACGTCAAAGAAACTCAGACACAATAGACACAGGAGGGCACCCCCGAAGCTAGGTGGCACAAACGGCAAAGCAAAGTTCAGGGACCTGAGAAATGTTTGCTGAACGCGGTTAGGCCCCCTAGAGGATTCACAAGAGGTGAAATTATCCCGCTTCAGCAAGTTTACAATCTAATTGAAGACGCGCAGGAAAATCTGAGAGAATTGTGACTTTACAATATCGTACAAAGAGCTACAAAGAGTGGCGTAGTAGTCAGTGGACAAGTATCTAGCCAAATAAACTCAAATCTGCTGGAGGAGATCGGATTAAAACTAAGTGTGTAACGTACATGTCATATTTAGATAGGACAGGGAAGGAAAAGTTTGGAAAATAGGCATTTCTTAAAATTACCAACTCCTTGAAATTGTGAAACATTAAAAAGTGTACATTTTCATTGAACAAATTAGACCAGATTTCAGTTAAGAATTGAAGCATTACTTTAATGATATTAATACCCCTCAACCTCTGGGAAACTACAAAGCCCTAAGAAGGTTTCTTCGTTTGATAAAGCATTACATTGTATGTGCTATTTATGTGTGGTGATATGAGCCATAATATTTGGTTGATTACAACACCTTATTCCTTCATCAAGACAAATAATACGGAGTTGTTCTTACATTTTTCTGATAGTTGCTGAGTCGAACATTTCAATGGATTGTGTTGCTGAGGATTTCCTATTTTTTTTAGATGTTATTCAATAAGATATTTATATTTCTTGTGATAAATAGCCTTGAATGAAGACATTTTTGCATTTGCTGGATTTTATCTTACTTTTTTTGGTAGATATGGAGTCAGTGATGAAAATGAATGCACTCAGACACTTTATGTTTTAATATTGAAGTCCCAAAGTTAAGGACTTCCAAACTTTACAAAACTTTGATATGTTTGCAGGTGGTGATAGAAGTTGATATCAGTGAATTATGATGCCAGTTCATCTGGTATTGTGGCCTTTGCAGAGATGTACCTCTGTTGTAAAACCAGTCAGTATTCTCCAGAAGTCAAACATGGGAAAGGAGTTGAATTAAGAAAGTCTTAACAAGTCTCATTAGTAGTTCCAGTCTGGATTGAATCAGAAGATTCTGCTTTAGAGTCAGTAAGGTGGAATCTACCATACACCAGCCATGTCAGGACCTCAGTATACATAAATTCAGGTTAGCCGAAATGGAAACAGCCAAACAGCAGGGTCTCCCCAGTTTTACAAGCAAGAAAAAATATTTTTGCCTGAAGCCACTGTGATTTGGGAGGTATGATAATATTGGAAAAGAGCTGACTAAACACATAATAGCCTGGAGAGAATTTCACATGGTAAATATAAGGAAGAGACAAAGTCATTGAGAATCATTCAGACTACTACTATAAAAGGAAGGAAAGAGGGAGGAAAGGGAAGGGGAGGGGTAGGGGAAGGGAGGGAAGAAGAGGGAAGAGGGGAAGGGGAGGGGCACGACATATAAAGGATCAATAAAGTTTATGGTCTGGAATAAAAACTAACATAAAGGAATAGAAAAGAAAACATATATGCTTTGTGCTGTAGAAGAACTTGGTACAAATATGATACAATAATAACAATGTGAATGTGATAAAAAAGAATTTAAAAGCAAGATGTTGAGAAATTAT